GTACGTTAGAAAAAAACTATAATTATCTTGAATTAATGAGGGCGATACAGATTCCAATGTCTTGCTCGCGATCGTTGGTCAAAATGGACGAATCTGTCAAAATTGTTGAACAATTTGCGCCGCGCATGTGCAATACGTCACCAATGCCAGATTGTGAATCAAAAAGATATTAATTTTTTCACATATTATTACGTAATATCATAAGTATCTAACATATAATGAATAAAAATAATCATAAAAATCATTAAAAGTATTATTAATCGTAATTATGAAAATAGATAATTTTTTCCTAAAAGAATAAATAAATAAAATAAATAGGCACATGTATCATGCGTACGTATAACTTCCTTCTTGTCCTTGCATCTCGAATTAAAAAAGAAATAATTAATAAATCGAATAATCAAAGAACAGAACTATCACAGATCTATAATAAATCTTCCTTTAACATTTTTTTGTAAAAATATTTTCTATAAAAATATTTCGTATAATTTTATCTTTCGAAGAAGCTCAAAACAATATATATATATATATATATATATATATATATATATATATATATATATATCATAATAAAGTACTGAAATATGACGAAAAAAAAGAATCAAAACAAAGATATTGGATTACAGATGCGAACACGTCTAACCTAAATCAATTCTAAGAAAAAATATTGGCCCACTGACCTATTTAATTTCTTGGAAAATACTTGTTTTCAATGCCAAGGTAGGCGACAAAAAAGTCTCTTATATACTACTACACGCAGACGTTGAACACACACATACGAATGTTTTCAACCGAGCTCGCCGTCTACGAGCGTTAATAAAAAACTTTCTATATATATATACAAGTATTTCGATGCACGATTTTCTTATATATATATCTATATGTAATATATATATATATATATATATACACACATGAATTCTTAGAAAAAAGTAGGACTTATTTCTACATAAGTTTGTAGGTTATGTATTGTCTTCACTCTGAAAAGAAACGAAGGCATTAATACGCATCAAATGGACGATATTTTTTCTCTGTTAATTAAACCGTACGATCAAATATAAATAATATTGCAATACTTTTTTAATAATTCTATCAAAATTGCATAAAGTGTTAAACAAAAAGTATTCATCAACGAAAATATAAACCGAGCAATTGCTTCGAATTGTTTTCCATTACGGTCAGGTAAACTGTGTGTAAAAATGAATTGCATTTTATTCAGTCAATATAGTTGAAATAAGTTAATAGATATATACACAAACACAATACGCATAGAGGGAAGCATAAAATGTTACGATTGACATAAAATTCCAAAGAGAATTGAAAAATACCATTCCTATATAGAAAGTTATAGATATGTGAGGCTTTTCTCGCGATGGTGAAATATATAGGAATACCCTCTTTGCAATCGTGTTTAAAAAAGTAGAAAATAAAGGACACAAACAAAATAATAATTAAAAAGAAAAAAAATTATAAAAAAGAAGAGGGATAACTCCTATGGTTTCATTGGAAAAGCAACGTTTCGACCATACGAAAACTTGATCCTATCCTCCTCCTCCTCTTGCTATATGTTTTCGTCTCTACTCGTGTTCACATCCTCCTCGTCGTATGGAAATAACGTTTCACTTTTTTATACTATTCCATGTTTCGTATGCACATCGAGAGAGGCACCTCGTATTTTCGACTCTATTCGTTTATTGGCAATGGACCAAACCTGCAGGACGCATAGTGGTATAGAGCAAAATTACTATCTCGTGTTTACATCTTTTTTCTTTCTTCCTCTATCTCTCAATTCTCTCCCTCCTACTACTACTCCTTTTTCTCTCTTTTTTTTTTCTTTTTATTTTACTCTTTTTACTCTTACAACCGAGTTTCATGAAGAAGAGGAAATCGGCCGTATCATTTCACCCCAGTCTCTCTATCTTCCTCTTCGTCCTCCTCTCTTTATTTTGTCTTCCATTAAATCGAATTTATTCAAGGCACTGGCAACAACGATAATTTTCTTCACCTGTTCTTTCTCTCTCTCTCTCTCTTTCTCTTATTCTCTGTCTCTCTCTACCTCGAAATAAATGTACCGAGAAACCTCGTCCGAGAAAATCACGACACTCTGGCGAAGCCATTTATCGCATCAAGATCATTAGCTGTCTCCCTTTCTTCCTCTCTATCTCTCTCTCCCTCTTTTTTCTTTCTTTCTTTCTTATTTTTTTTTTATCTTTCTCTCTTTCTTTCTCTCTCTCTTTTTTTTACCTACGATCGCGACGCATGAATGCCTCATGCAATTACTATAACGAAGAGAAGCGATTCGTTTGCGCGCTACGACTATCGATGGAAAGAGAACGTTTCAATTTTGTTTAAAGTTTTTACCTGGATTTTTTAAATGTATTCACATATGCGCGCCATATGCACGTGCACGTATTACAAATATTTATCGAGGGAAATCAAAGAAATTGGCTGAGGTAAAATCTATTCGAATTTTCTACAAAGTTTATATCTAACGTATAGGAATGTATTGTAACGTTTCGACATTTTATACCGATTACATGTACAGTACGCGAAACTGAATATCAAATTCAGAAGAGAAAATTTATTTTTACATGATTTCGATCGAAAAGAAATTTTGATCAAACATTTATGTAGAAATGTTAACATATTATTAACCGGATTATTCGATCGATATACAATACATACAATATAAATAATTATTAAAACTACAAAAACATATAACTCGTCGTCATAATATACAATGTAATGTTTATTGTGTTGGTAAGCGTTTCAGTTAACGTCGACATATACTCAATTTTCCTTTTTCATATTTTAATAACGATTTTAATAACGATTTTAATTCGATTTAATATGAACATAATATATCACTTTTTGCATATAATAGCCGGTCAATAAAGTGTTAATACGGAAATTGTGAATGTCCGTCGTCTAGTTATTTTCTTTTTTTTTTAATTCCATATGTTTGCTTGTATTCCTCGTGTTTTGTTCACATTTGAATTTGAACGAATGAAACAGTTCGGAGAATATTAAAAATTAGGGATATAATACATATACAGAGACTGCGAGCCCTTGTATTTTCTCTTTTCTCCATTCTCCGAGCATTTACCTTTCGGTCCAGATATACAAGCGAAGTATGTATATATATATATATATATATAGATATATATACATATATATAGGAAAGAGGGATGGTTGGGGGATGAGTAGTTCTGCGGCAAATAAATTGTCGAAGGTCTCTTTTTATCTATTTCCTTTTCTCTCCTATCATCAAGTCGACTTTTGTCGCGCTCTTTTCTTTTCTCCTTTTCCTCTCTGTTCACGGCTTCCTCGTTATCCTATTTTCCTTTTCGCCTTTATTTACGACATATTAAATTTCCATTTGCGCGACAATAGCGTACAAAACGAATGCAAGAGTGCGTGCATCATCGAGCGAGCGTTATCTATCTACCCACACACAAATACACACACAAATACACACACAGATACGCACACACAAACACACACATACATACATACACATATATATACATACACACATATATATATATCGTTCAATAACGTAATCGCTTTTGTCTACGATAAAGTATCGCCATTTTGTCGTTACTAATTCTGCTCTCTTATCTCAATCACCCGCTGTCATGGTGAGTCATTTTTTTATTTTCCTTTTTAATTTTTTTAGAATATCACGCTGATAATAATTATTCTTTGCAATTTGAGTTTTTAACGAGACAGAGGGAAAGAGAGAGAGAGAGAGAGAGAGAGAGAGAGAGAGAGAGAGAGAGAGAGAGAGAGAGAAAGAAAGAAAGAGCGATAGAAAACTTTTTATCTTTTGCCTTCTATGTCAGCTCGTTCACCGTGAATAGTTAAGATCGAGCTCCCACCAAAACTCCTCCAAGCAGGAGGAGGATGTTGAAAAGAGAGGTGAAGGAGAGAAGGGGAAGGAGGAGAATCGTTTTCATGCATTAAACAATGGCCGTCGACGTCCTTCGAGCTTCGCGATAAACGGGGCTATCAAAGCTAGTCTCGAAACTTATTCGACTTCTCTATCTGTCCTCCCTCTTCATCCCTCTATCTCTTTCTTTCTCTCTCTCTCTCTCTCTCCCTCTTTCAATGCTGAGCGTCTTTAATACAACGAATGAATAGAGTTATGCGCCTTTGGATGTAGATAGCACCTATATTCGAAGGATCAGAAACTCGAGGAGAACGAAGAAGTTTCGCAGATTTATGAAAAAAAAAAAAATTGGACCGACAACTAAGTGCAATGTGAATCGCGATAGCTCCGTATTTCGTGACTTAAACTATCAATGGGGAAACTTGATTCTGAAATTTTCTTTTGCCGATATAACACCTTTTTAAAGGAGTCACCAATTAGTAGAAGCAGCTTCGTTTTATAATTTTTCCTTTTTCTTCTTTTTTTTTTTTTTTTTTTTTTTTTTTTTGTAAATTTTAATATTTATAAAAAGAGGATTCTCTATTACCACAAAAATTTATTTCCTTATAAATATCTTTTGGAGGAGTAATCATCCACCCAGCTTTATACATTTAAAATGATATAAAATTATACATACCATCGTTTTATACGAGTAATCCCCAAATAATGGTATTTGGATTTTAATGTGATATCGATTAAATTTTAAACCGAGAATAGATCGAATTCGTGAAAATGTTCCTTCTATTTTGGAATCGAGCCTGCTTCCTGCAGCTGACGCGACATAAAATGTACGAGAGTAATGTAGAAATCGATCCTTCGTCTAAACCTTTCGACAGCTTCTCGTCTTTCATGATACTTCTTTTTAAAATGACGTTAAATCGTCATCAGATCTTTTAAAGTATTCAGGTAACGTTCTTATATTAATTTTTCTAACTTTTTTATTGATTTTGCGTGCATGTAGAAAATATCGATAGAGTTCCTTCATCTGAAACTTTTATAGAAATTATTTTACATCAGTGATATTTATCAACATTTAATAATTATTTATTACGAATTTGACATTAATTGGCTTTACTTCTACAATAAGAATATTTATTTATATATATAATTAATTTATGTTTTTTATGTTACATCAAAATGCTATATAAGTAATAATGATTTTTAAAAACATCACATACGCCATGATCGAATTACCACGAGAATAAATTTTCGAGCTCTCTCTCTCTCTCTCTCTCTCTCTCTCTCTCTCTCTTTTACTATTTTTCCTTGCAAACGAAACGCTGCTGTAATAGCGTCTTCGAATAAATTTCCGTCACCAGCACGGTGACCCATTGCGTCTTTCTGCAAGATCATCGTAAAACTTGTCTAAAAGAAAAAAACGAAAAAAGAAGAGAAAAAGGAAGAAAAAGAGGAAAAGAAATAAAAAATATTGCTGAGAGATGTGGTGCATAGAGACTCTCTCATTGAAATATCGTTTAAGTCCATGTTACTATTAGAAGATAGTACTCAATAAAAAGCGAAGAAAAATAAAGAGAGAAAGAGAGAAAGAAAGAGAAAAAGAGAGAGAGAAAGAGAGAGAGAGAGAGAGAGAGATAGTAATTAGTTGGTACAATAAATTACAATTAACCAATGTTGCGGGTCGTACGTTCTGAATCCGTCGGATATTTTTATTCAATGATGATTCTTGATTTTAGTTAATGAAACGATATAAACCGTTTCTGATATTGCGGCTATTGATTTTAATTTAACAGCGGCCGACTTCCGGCAGCCGCCAACGTTCGCTCATAAATCAAAGATCGACGTTCCGTTTCTCCTATCCTTGTTCCCGATGTTATCCGTCTGTTGGCGATTAGCGAGGGTGAAATTTTCCGGTAACGTTTAAGAAAAAACTAAAAGTGCATTGGTAAGATCGAAGGAAATCAAATTAATCGACGATCAAAATTATAATCTTTTTCCTCTCGATCGATCTTATTTAATTGATCGACTTTCATTAGTTAGATTTTTACGTTTGAAGAGAAATCGATATATCGAAATGTTTGATAGATATCTCGATCGTGACATATCCATTTAAAATTATAGATATTAGTGAATAGACGTTCTTATACGGTTGAAAGACCCTTTGAAACGAAGACTAATCGCTAATGGGTTCACTAGCCCTTACAGTTTCTGAAGTTTGGAAGCGAAGTGGCACACATTAACCCTTTGCCATCGAACATTCCACCTGGCTGACCACGAGCGTTCGTTCTACTACACCCCCGTACATGCACCAATAATCTTATTACGTACTGATTTATTTGGGCCATCTACTACCATGCTCGATTATCTCTTTCAGAGATATTTAAAAAAAAAAAAAAAAAAAAAAAAAAATATCGAAACTTTTATCGAAATAAATAAAAACAAAATAATTTCAACGATAATAAGAACGAAGTAATGCAGTAAGGATTTTGCATTAATGTTGTAAGCATTCATTATCTCAAGTACCGGCCATGAAAACGACTAGAAAGAGAGAGAAAAAAGAGAGAAAGAGAGAGAGAGAGAGAGAGAGAGAATGAGAGAGAGAGTGAGAGATAGAGATAGAGATAGGGATGAAAAAAGTGTCATGAAAAGGGACGAGGACGATACCGAGCGTGAAAATCGTTGCTTTGGAAACGGAGTTAACGTTCGCGTCTTATGGTTGTACCGTAGTCGTAATGCCCGGAAGCGATGCGTTCATTCGTTCGTTCGTTCGTCCGTCCTTATCTCTCAGTAGATATTATCCCTTTCGGTGGTCCAGTATCTCTCTCCGGCGTGGCTGGAAACATTTCCAGTCGAGATTTTTCACAGTCCATCGTTTCTACGTCCGATACGATCCTTCCGACGTGCTGACAACACACGGACGGTGGTACTAGAACCCAGAGAAATTTATGGTCGATTCAACCTACTTTTCGAGATTCGACTTGCTATAGAAAGAGGCAGACAAACAGAAAAGACAAACAGATGGACAGGCGGATGGACGGATGGACGGATGGACGGATAGATGGACAGGGAGAGAGAGAGAGAGAGAGAGAGAGAGAGAGAGAGAGACGAGAGAAGTTGGGTTTAAAATTAATCGAGATCCCCTCCTAGTCGCCATTCGTTAACGAGACGCACCTGTTAAGAATAATAGTTATCGGAAACGTCTAATAGACCTATGTCCACGTAGGATAGCAACCAAAGAATTGGTCGGTTCGACGACTTTTCTCTCATAGTCTAGTGTCAACGTTACCATAAAGGGCCGATGTTGCTGTCACGTCGTTCTACCCTGGATCCGTTTTTGTCGTCAAGCCAACCATGATGTATGGTCGTCGTTCTATACTCGCGTTAACCCTTTATGGGGAGCACCGAGATACTTGAAAGTGTCTCCCCGTGTGTGTGTGTGTGTGTGTGCGTGTGTATGTGTGTGTGTGTACTATGTGACAAGATCTCAACATTGATAACGATCTATCGATCACTATCTTCCCATTCCTTTTTTCATCGGTGAAATCATATCTTCAAGAGATCGGCGATTTATTGGAAAACTTTTTCTTTTCGATGAAAAATGTTATAGTCGTTTTTTTAAAGAATTTTCTTCTTTTTTTTTTCTTCTTTTTTTTTTTTTTTTTTTTTACTTTTCTTTTCTTTCCTTGCAAATTGATTTACGAGTTATATTGATGATTTTCTATCTTTCTCTTTCTATCTCGTTGAGTAGAGAGCAAATTAGACCCAAAAAAGGAAAGAATCCCGAACGATGGGTATCGAGGATCTTCAGCAACCCTTAAGAAGACTCGACTCATTATGTTTTTCTATGGAATTCGTTTGAAATCGTTTACGTGAGCATTCACGTTGCTCGCGTTATTAGCCTAAGGGTCGTTCCCCGTCCTTCTACGTTTCTCGTCTTTTCCTCTCTTCTCCACGCGTGAAAATTCTCTACGGCACTTATCACAACAGAAGCGAGAAGAAAAAAAAAAGCGTGCGCTTATGAAGAAAAAATTCGAAAAATAAGAGAAAAACGTGAATTACCATACGAGAATATCACAATTTCTATTAACCACTATTATCAATTGCAATTTGATAAATAAAATATCATCTCGGATGAAACTCATTCAATAAACTTTTTTCCAAAATTTTTTTCATTCTAAATTCAACGTTCCTCTTTTTGTTCAGATCGAAAACATTTTAGAAACAACTTCAACGATTTTAAATTAATGTTAATATATCGTCGAGAGACCGATCTCGAGTATGCAATTCTACGTAATTATTAAAGTATCCTCATATAAAATCGTGCAACTCGTTATTATAGTAATTTTTTATTAAATGGGATATTATCTGCGTTTAATTTTGATATTACCTATTTTCCTAAATTTTAATATTTTAATAACGATTTTAATTGAATTATGAACACCGCCGATGAAACGTAATTATACTTTTTGCATATAATAATTGGTCGACAATGTATTAATAGCTCTGAAAAAAGATTCTAATCGAATGTATGTACGTTAAATCGTAAAATATCATGCTAGTTAGAGGTACATATCAGTTAGCAAGAAAAGGGGTGATTTGAAGTGAGAAAACGGAAACGTATATCGATTTCCTAGCTTCAAAGGTGTTGTTCGTCGTTAGAGTTTCCGTCCCTTCGTGTTCTTCGTTAAGAGAACAAGACGTAGATAGAGCTCTAGACGTAGAGAGTTCTCTTCCTCTCTCTCTCTCTCTCTTTCTATCTCTCATAGTAGTTGCCGACTACGATCGGATGCTTGTAAGTTGCGGTTAAGCTATGGTGTCGGTTACGCGAGATGGGATGTTCTTCATTGGCTGTCGTAAAACGATCGACGAAAGCGTGCCATATATACATGCAGGTGTGTTACCGAAAATCGCTTGCGATTATCGAATTAGCACGATATTGGCAGCTTTCAACGTAATCGAAAGACGGAACGCATGTAAATGCATTTACACAATATCGATCTATCTAGAATTGCTAGAGAAGTTTTACATTTCGAATCGAAAAATTTACCTACTTCTTTTCAACGTTTTCCTTCCTTCTCAAAATATATTAGAATAAGCAAAAAAGAAAGAAAAAAAAAAAAAAAAAAAAAAAAAAAAAGGAAAATGTCGAGCAATTTTTTCTCTCTTTTAAAATAAAAATCAATTTTAATACATATGATAAGGCAACAAGATTTTTGGTGAAAATTCGAACCAACGAAGACGAGGCTCTACATTTCAATCGTCGAGATATAGTGTAAGAGGATGTAGATATCTATTTTAATTCATGGAATACTCTTGAGAAAACTCTTGGATATACATATATATTCAGTATATATACAAATATATATATATATATATATATATATATATATATATATATATATATATATTTTCTCTCGGTAAGATCTCCTTGCTCGCTACTACTTGTACCTCGATAGCACGAAGATGTAATAATTTTAATGGTATCGAGATCTTCTCCGAACGATACTTTTTAAATCTCTTTATCTCTCTCTCTCTCTCTTTTTCTCTTTTTCTATTACATTTGTAAGGTATCAATTTTTTAAATCAATTTAACTTTTTTTTTTTATAACAAAAAGAAAGAAGTGGAAAAGGGAAGATAACGGATTACGATACTATGGAATAAGATTAAAAAATTTGTCTGCAAATTTTCTCGAATAAATTCGAATAATGGTCAGTCATTATTATCACTAATGACAGAATTTAACGTCTTTCGTTTTAGTTACATCGTCCTTTACATCCCCGCAACCGCAGCACCCACATACCGTACCTTTCTCTTTTCTCTCCCTTCGTTCTTTCATTTCTTTCTCTTTTATTTCTTTTTTTTATGCGTTGCGTCACGATTCCGTGAACGAGCTTTTACCGCGTGCTTTGCCTTACCCACACGACCTTTCCTTCCTTTTTCCATTTTTTCCCCCTTTCTTCTTCGTCCTCTTTTTTTTTTTTCTCGTTCAACGAATCTTTGCCCTCACTAGACAGAATGGAATCGAGCAATAGAAAAGAATTAGGAAAAAGAAGGAACCTAGTCTCGTCGATATCTAAGAGAATAAATTCGAATACTGCGATGAGTAGAAGAGAAAATGTGTGTATTCTTTTAAAAGCTCTATCGATTTTGTGATAAAGAAAGAGAGAAGAACGAACGAACGAACGAACGAACAAGCTTTTTCTCTCGGTGTTGACTCTACTAAAATACACGTACTTAACCTATCTAATATTTATTTTTAAGAAGGTATTTTACTTAGAAAAAAGAAAAGAAAAAAAATCATCATTATCATCACGTTCGTCGTATTAAAATATTAAAAATAAAATGCCGTGATAAAAGTTCGTACAACGTTTCATAGAAAAATTGTACTCTCGAGACCTCATAAAATTTTGCTTCCAATTCTTGGTTTTTTTATTTTTTTTTATTTTTATTTTTATTTTTATTTTTATTTCCTGAAGATAACGATACGATCTACTTAACGCGACAGAACGTCATCTTGACTCCACCTCTTTCATCTTATATACTTGCTCGGCTCGTGAATCGACGCAACGTGTCCCCTTTTTCGTGTTTTAACGACTAGGATAGATCGTAAATATCGATTTTTATCGAACGATCCTCACATTTATCCTCTCTCTCTCTCTTCCTCCCTCTCTCTCTCTCTCTCTTCCTCCCTCTCTCTCTTCCTCTCTTTTTTTACACGTGATAATAACTTAAAAATTTATGATAAGTAACTTGGCCTTCGTTTCGTTCATTCATTTTATGATCCATTTTGAACGTTGAACAAACTACTCGTACATTTTACATCGTTGTACTCTTCATAGCTCTAGACTCGGAGATTTAACGTTCGTTAATTTGCTCGCATACATGGTCGTTTACGCAGCGAGTAACTATATACATGCGTTACAGGGAGAGAGAGAGAAAGAGAGAGAGAGAGAGAGAAAGAGAGAGAGAGAGAAAGAGAGAGAGAGAGAGAAGAAGAGAGAGAGAGAGAAGAAGAGAGAGAGAGAGAGAGAGAGGAGATCGTTAATTCGTTACAACGTCGTTTATCGTCGACGATGGAAAACGAGAGAGCGAGAAGAGAGATTTTCGAAAGGTAAACTTCGACGAGCTGTGGATCGTTAAAAAAGATTTTGATGATAGGTATCAACATTCGCAATATAAAAAGAGATATGTTATATTTATATCTAAATCGTTTAGTAAAGTTAGAAAAACGAAAACTGATATATTAGTATGGATTACGATTAATCATAGTGATGTGACAAGTTGATAAATATACAAATATGAACAAACGATTACTATATCGTATAAAAAAATTTACATTTTTAACACAAGCAGAATGTTTCCATTGGTTTATAATTTTTGTTTTAAAGAATATTCCACGAATTTTCTTGATTATGTTAATATAATATAATATAATATAATATAATATAATATAATATAATATAATATAATATAATATAATATAATATAATATAATATAGGACGATTCGATACGAGTAAAACTCGATAAAGTAAAGATTTGCATACGCTGAATATTCTAGTTATCTTATATACTTACTTTCGCTTATCGACCTGACCGATTATCGCCTGTTGTATTTAATCCATAAAAAAATATTCACAAGAGTTAATTATTGGGAGTAGAAGATTTTTCGTAGTTTCATCGCAGAATCGTTTACCCTGACTTTGGTAAACTGGTCTTATAGCAAATCGACTTCCATTGTCCGGGTACTGGGCTTTAATACTGAAGGACGACATCTGTCGAGGGAGTGACAATCGACCTGGAACAATACGGAGATTGAATTATGAGGGCCGAGGGCTTGTCCTTTGTCACCTTCTCTTTCTATTCTCTGTCTCTCTCTCTCTCCCTCTCTCTCTCTCTCTCTCTCTCTCTCTCTCTTTCTCTCTCTTTCTTTCTTGTTCCGACGTACGTACGTGGTTGGTAGTCGGTAATTCAAGTGTTCGTGCATCGATGTGAGTTCACGTTGAAATCTTTTGTCGGTTCCTTTGTGAACTATTTTACGATATACCGTCGTTCTCGAAAATGGCAATCGATAGTTGTAAAAGGATAAGAAACAAAATTCTCTTTCGAAAAGCGATCTGCGATCGTATCGTAGATATAAGAAGTCAGAAAAAGAAAAAGAAAGAAAGTACGAAAGGGAGAAAAAGATATCTATGTATGTGTGTGTGTGTATGTGTGTGTGTATGAGTATAGTAGTGATAGGAGTTTCCAAAATATCCACTATGTTAACGCGTCCGAGTACAACGCTGGAATGAAAGCTCTTCTCTCTCTTAGCCTATATCCTTGAGTTACCTCCAATGCCCCCGGCCGTTTCTTGTTGTTTACGTTGAGGCGCTTCTCAAGACTTCCAAGAAGCCCAAGTAATCTCTGGACGTTCGCGCACGTGATTCAAACTTTCATATTAAATATCGATCGTGAACATTCCTATTCCAGGATATGGACAGGCATCTAACAAAAAGTGATCCATGTTTGTATGAGATATCCGTTCAATTCGATTGAATTGTCTAACAAAATACAAGCTGAATCAAAAGTTTCTATCGGTGATTTTCAAAAAGATCAATTATTCTTTTTTTTTTTCGTGACTTTTTTTCAAGTTAAGTTTTTCTCTAAATCGTGAAACTCATGGCATAGAAATTTTTCACTCGTCCTGTATAAAATTTGTCAAGACGAGTCAACCTTTTTTTCATTTACATTTTCATTCTTCATTTACATTTTTCATTACATTATAAATGTTGGCCAATATCGGAGGCCGAAACTATTTTAGAATTTTTTATGCAATTATCTCTCGACAATGGTATGTAGTGGATATTGAATGAATCTCTGTTCTGCATCATGAAACCTCGAAAATGCAATTGGTTGTGTCACATGAGATTCCTCTCTCGAACAATGTAATTTATTTACAAAACCACGAGGAACGAAGAATCGAGTACACAGAGAGAAATCCGGTAAAAGCAAAGCGTGTTGCGTAAAATCCCTAAGGAGATGCATCGTAATATAATTTTTCAGATTTCGAAAGCGTATCGCGTAGCTCGAGAGTCTTAATATCGGTGCATCGATATCGTCGTCGTGGTTGGGTAAAGCCGCGCGTTTTAGATAGGAAATTGGAAAATTTTCATGTAAACCGTACGACGCGTCGTGTTAAGTCGGTTGCTAGTGGAAAGAGAAAAAAAAGGGAGAAAAGAGAAAAAAAAAGGAACTAGGTATCTATCGGATATTTTTCGAGGTAAAAAGGAAACTCGGTTGCTTTGTCTCGATAAAGATTATTTTTTAGTTGTTTGGACGATACCGTTTAACGTGTTAAAAATTTTATTAAAAAAAAAATAAAAGAAAAGAAAAATAAATAAAAATAAAAATAAAAATACAAATAAAAATATATCCTCGTATATCCTGATAGGAAGGTAAATCCGTTGTATACCGGGGAAACCAAAGTTACGCTACCGTTCGATTCAGATACTCAGGGTTATACGGAAATCCTGAATTGGTCCTGGGCTTTCGGTACTTCAGAGAAATTCGCGGGAAAGTAGTTGAATTCGATATGCCTCGGCTCGAATGCAGTGCTCCAAGTTTCTCTCTCTCTCTCTCTCTCTGTCTTTCTCTCTCTCTCTCTCTCTCTCTCTCTTTCTCTCTCTCTCTCTCTCTTTCTCTCTCTCTCTCTCTCTCTTTCTCTCTCTCTCTCTCTCTTTCTCTCTCTATCTCTGTTTAATTCGTATCGATGTGGCCAAAATCATTCAGCCATAGATACGATCCTCCTCGAGTTCGAATAATTCACGATTAATTCAAAAATTCATCGTATTGCGCTCTTAATGCTTTAACGAAGCTGCACATTGAATGCATATGTATATCGATCAACGAGACAGCAGGAGACACACAGAGAAAGAGAGAGAGAGAGAGAGAGAGAGAGAGAGAGAGAGAGAGAGAGAGAGAGAGAGAGAGAGAGAGAAAGATACGAAACTCTAGAAATTCGCAAAAGTTAATGGCAAAGGCTAATCGATCGAGATCGATATTTCGCCCTCATGTGCCTGACCGACTTTCTCTCTCTTTCTCTCTCTCAGACGAACAGAAGACGGCTCTTGTTAAGCCGGAATATCGCTGAGTGCGAATAATTTTTGTTCGCCACGGCAAGGTGGCTGAGTTGGCTCGACGTCAAAAAATTTCATCGCTTTTGAAAGAGATTTCCAAAAGACGGATGATTTTTAATATATATATATATTTTCTTAACAGCTCATTTTTATTAAAAAAAAAGAGAGAGAGAGAGAGAGAGAGAGAGAGAAAATCAGACGAAAAAAATGACGATAAGGAAAACTATAATTAGGGTTATTTAACATCAAAACTAAAACGTCGGCTAGCGTCAGACTGGTATGTAAATTGGAACGTTTACGTTCGCTGGTGTAACGCATATGCTGATGGGGTTGCAGAAATTCTCGTGGACGTGGTAAGCGTGACGACGGTCTTTCCTACCGTCCCCTCTCGTCTCTCTACGTTCTCTTTCCGTCGCACGGACAAGCGGAAATGCAAGGGAGGATTCGAGAATACGTTCGCATAAATCGCAGATGCAACGGCACGACGTATTACAGTGGCTAGAGAAAGCTAGCTCGGTCAGATATGCTCACGAGCACTTTATGCGTCTTGCCTTATTCAGTGAACGTTCTAGAATAGTCCTACTAACAACAACGTCCATCCGATTGTCTTCCTACTCGATTAGACTAATGCTTCTCTATCCTGTGAAAATGGTAATCCTCTGAGGTTGCTACCTGTTCCGTTCGATCTCTTATGCGAGGAATACTCTTGACCGCTCGTTCGTTCTCTATCCTTTTCGAAGGTAGAAAACCTTGGGAAAATCCTTTTAGAACTTTTCGATCAAACGATCGAAAGTCAGCTTTAGAAATATTCCATAAGAACTTTTCACCAATCTCTCCAACTCTTTAGTAAAGAACGCGAAGAGGTTAGTGGTAAACGTTAAAGAACATGAAAACTCGAAACTCGATATATCGCTCGATTTATTTCCGTAAGGAACGGATTTATACGAATGAATGAACGAAAAACCAACTAATGAACCGTCTGTTTCAGCTTTTTATCAAGAAAGATGAATAAAGAAAGAAATAAAATAAAAACCATAAAGTTAAAAGGACAAACGATACGTTAAGCTCGTCCACTATTATCGAGCGAAAGAGAGAGAGAGAGAGAGAGAGAGAGAGAGAGAGAAAGAGAGAGAAAGAGAGAGGAGGGATTAAAGTGAAAAGGAATGTTGCGTGGGTGAAACTCGGCTTATTTTTTGCACAAATTTCCGGATAATCAAAAGGTTAAGCGCTAAAATTGGCATGAATATTAAAGAGGTTAGTAGCGAGTTTTCGTAGATAACGGGGAGAAAAAGAAAGAGATAGAAAGAGAGAGAGAGACAGAGAGAGAGAGAGAGAGAGAGAGAGAGAGAGAGAGAGAGAGACGACGCGTATGCCTCGATTAAACTTACCAAGATATTTCTCCTGACGATGGAGTTAACGCGTAATATATATTCTTTTAAGATCTAAATTCTCCACGAGAACGATAAGAGAGAGATAGAGAGAGAGAGATAGAGAGAAAGAGAGAGAGAGAGAGAGAGAGAGAAGAGAAGGTGGAGAAAACGAGGACTAGGACGAGGACACCGAGTCGAAGTTATCGCTCTGCGGCTATGGAAGGGCACAAATGGTAGAGGCACGTTATTATCCCGAAGGATTAATTTCCAACACGGCACCGTGCTCCAGGCCGACGATTCTCGTCTAATTGCCGCGATCCCCGGATCTCAATGACAATCGGAGCACAAGCGAGAGCATGAGAGAAAGAAAGAGAGAGAAAGAGAGAGAGAGAGAGAGAGAGTTCTCACATCGACGTTCATTGATAACCAAGAGTTCGAGCTACGTGTTCGTTAAATTTTTCGAAAGTCTCCGCTTTCTCTCGACCTCGTATTCCCACTCGTCGCGTACTACAAACTTTTCATTGTAATTTACGAGGGTCATTGTTAATTATTCGTAAGCCCAGGCACAAAACTTTATCCCTCAAGTTACCCCCGCAGCCATGCGCCACCACCATGCGGTCGTGGTTTTTTTTTCTTTCCCCCCGCTCATAAAATACGAACTTGTTTCCTAGCATCGGAAGTAACGTTAACGATGATTAATTCGACCAAAAATGCATTATGACCAAAGATAAAACATACTTGGTGGGACAGCTCGTTAGACAATGCTCGAATTAATCTTGTCCACCTTTCGTATCTTCTTATCGCGTTGGAAAATTATTAAGATCGTTTCCTCGTTAAAAAAAAAAAAAAAAAAAAAAAAAGAGAAAAAAAAGAAGCAGAAAGAAGAAAAAAAAGAAAGAAAAAAATATTAGGAACATCGAAATTGTTTACTTAATTACTTGGACCATTTCGGTAATTACTTGCCATAATTATTTATACAACTAAATCGCAATTATATAGGATCGTAGACAATAATGTTTCCTCGTACGCATGGATAAACGTTTAACTATAAATGATCTCCACTGTGTGCCATTTAATCCTTGCATTTTCCAGAGGTAAAATCCTTTCTCTCTTTCCCTTTCTCCTCTCCCTCTTCCCCCGCCCCTTCGTCGTTACCTCCTCCTCCTGCAGTCATAAACAGAGGTATCGCGGTTTCTCCCTAATACCAGAGTATTAAGTTTGAAAGAAATAAACGGTTAAGAAATATATAACTGCGTTTTCTTTATTTCCAAAACGAATTCACGACGTTCACTCGGTACTTTGACAAAAGTCACTTTACCATGGCCTTTATTCGTTTTCTCATTCTATCGACTCGTATTAAAAAGGAAACGAAGAAAGGAGACAAGAAAAAAAGAAATAGAAAAAAAAAAAAGAAGAAAAAGAAAAACATTCAAGAAATGTTCAAAATATACAGAAAAGAGAAAGAAATATTCTCTGCTAGTGACTTTTACGAATTATCTTACCCAACCCGTTCGTTGCCACTCTCTGTTCTCCCAGTGGTCCGATCCACAGGTGCGGCTACTTCTCGACGCTTAACATACAAATGAAGCTAATGAGACTAATGAAACTAATGAAACTTGTGGAAGGTTAATGAGTAAAAATACGAGATTCCCGTTTTTCTTATGGAAAATACAAGGAAGAAAGAAAAAGAAAAAGAAAATAAAAGAAGAAGAAAGGAGGAAACAAAGAAAGAAAGAAGGAAAGAAAGAAAGAAAGAAAGAAAGAAAATTATTAGAATAGTAACGTCGAATTAAAAAGAAGATTTCTCTTGGGTGAGAATTGCAAGTACATTGCTCTTCGCAAAAAAAAAAAAAAAAAAAAAGAAGAAAGAAGAAAGAAAAAAGCCGATCGGGAATAAGCACGTAAGCGAGTCGAGTGAGTCGATTTTTCCATAGGGCCGTACGAAGAAGTACTTTCAGCAAAAAAGAAGAAAAAAAAAAGAAA